AATCATTGCAGATATTTGACGACAACAGAATGGAGAGAAACATATGGAGGCCACAAAGATGGTGAATTTTTGTTTTGTCTTAGTGATTACTTTTTCAGTTTACTTTCAAGAAAAAGAATGGATTTAACGTAATTTTGTGATGAAATCTTGAATGAAATTGATGATCTGAATGTGAAAAGTGGATAATTTACATCGTTGAAATGAGATTCTGTCGTTTAAACACGATTTGCGTTAAATTCAGATACGGATAGAAGAATACAGCGGGCCGTCTTCAAACGATTACCGTTCTCACATTGTGCACTCTCGTTTCTTCCATTCGAGGATCCCGTTTGTACGCCCGATGGAATCATATTCGATTTAACGTATGATCTTTTTATTTTCATCACAAACGACTAAATAGCCAGAGTATATAAAGTATGATATAATGAAGATAATAAAGTATATTAGAGTATAACAAAAGATCTTCTTTTAAGGCATATTGTACCATATTTGAAGAAGTATGGGCAGAACCCAGTCACTGGTAAAAAGTTGTTGTCAAAAGAGCTGATTCCGTTGAAATTCGACAAGGATGAGCAAGGTGAGTTTGGAATTTATTGAAAAGTATTGTTAGATCCTCAAGAGAATGGAATTCTTCATTTCGGATCGAAGACAATTGATTTTCATTTGAACTCAAAATCAGGTGAAATTTAAATGACTTAGGTTATGATATGAGAGAGTATTTCATTTCTCAGATTTAATTTTTTCCACATTGATATTCGTTTGTTGGATGTATATTGAGCTGAAATCAGGGAAGTGCAAAAGCTTAAGAAATAATTTTTATGCGGTGGTTGTTTAAGTGATTGCCTTTAGGTAACTTCCGATGCCCAGTAACTTTCAAAACGTTCACGCCGAACAGTCATATTGTGACGATTCGTCAGACTGGTAATGTCTACGCGATGGAAGCAGTTCAAGAGTTGAATCTGAAAGCCGGATATCTGAAAGATTTGCTTACCGATCAGCCATTCCAACGAAAGGATATTATCACACTGCAGGTGGGTAGATGCTTCCAGATCAGTTCATTTTTAATTTTGATTCGTTTTCAATTTTAACAGTTTAAGAAATCGCCAGTAACTGTCATGAGCAACCTAGATCTGCTCATACATAGGGGAAATGATAGGTTTTATCTTTAAATTCGAAGCGGTTAAAGAATATGTTGTCTCTTATTGCATTAATCGGTCTTAAAGCCAGAATTCCTCAGTGAATTAGTTATGGCTGCTTTCTTAATATTTATTTGAGTGTACGTCAGGAATCCATTAATAGAGGAATGTTCAGGATCCGAACAATTTGGAGAAATTCAATATGGAGAGNAGAGTTTCCACCATGTGAAGTTGGATCTGAAAACGAAGTCAGAAATTGAAGCAGAAAAGAAAGCAATGAAAGACCCGAAATTCTACATACGGAGTATGAATAATGAAACGAAAGAAACACTGGAGAAGCTTCAGAAAGAATATACTCCAATTGAGGTATGCATTGAGAGTATTTCTTGTTCAATTCATTTCTGTATTTCATGTTTATATTAAGAAACAAACCTGCTATTGCATATGGCATTCATGCAACATTCGTTCAGCAATGACTTGAGTTTCCATTGAAAGTTTCCGAAATTCGTAGGCAAGTTTTAGGCATTGCAAAACGTAAACGATGATGAGTGGTTATAGAAATAGTATGATGTTGCTCAAGAAATTAGGATATTGGTGATTTTTTATGAAAAATGTTTCATTTTATCTGGTGTCATACGATTGAGTGAATCGGTAGGAATAAGTTAGAGAATGTACATAGTTGTTTGGGCAATGATTGGGTTAATGTTCAGAAGAAAGAGGAGAAACCTGAGGTGTTGGCTGATGAGTTGAGTGCGGCACATTACAGTCAAGGAAGAGTGGCTGCAGGCTTCACGTCAACAACACTTGATCCGGTTACACAACATAAAGCGGCCGTGTTGGATGTAGAAACTGTGCGGTGAGTCTGTGTTAATTTGAATGTTTTATTTGGTAGTTATCGAGAATTGGTGGTTCGTTTGATTTATCAGATTTATGTCTGTTATATTCGTTAAGGGTTACGGAAGTAGGACGTTTAAATACTGCCTAATTATATCGCTTGTTCTGGTTTTATGATTGATAGTGTGGTAGTAGGAAGGTGGATTTGTAAGCATTGGGTTTGGATTGAGATGTGTTTTCAAGTATAATGAGATATATTTATTTAGTGACAAGTGGTGATATATCAGGGGAAATAGTGATGTATAGAAGGAAAGGAGGTATTGATTGAAGATGGATTAGAATAAGTGAAAGTTAGTCAATGAGCTATTGAATTGAAGATTTTCTCTTGATAATTGTTTTGAAATTTCACGATATCCATGTGAGATGAATGTGGATTCGTGTTTCATTTAGCGGTAATTTTGCAGGTATTCTCGTGTCACAAAAAGTGGATATGTTCGAATTGTGACAAATTTTGGTGCAATAAATTTGGAGTTATATTGCAAGCAAGCGCCACGTGCTTGTGAGAATTTCATAACGCACTGTAAGAATGGCTATTATAATGGCACAAAATTCCATCGTGTNGATTGTTGATGAGTATATACGTTGCGACTCTTGATTTGGTGCGATTTTGTTGATTTGAGATGTATCGGTTAAGTCGATTCAGTTGCGATCCTCTTAAATGGGAATTGATGTTGTTTTGATGGAGAATTTGTTTGGTATTTTATGTTACGAATGTTGAAAAATATATACGTATTGGAATTTGAGCTGTTGGACCGATGGGTTTCGTCCAGAGTGTATATAGAATTTTCTGTGTGAAGGTGAAAGTATCATTTGTTTTGCTAACAGATGCAAGGCGGTGATCCGACTGGTACTGGCAAAGGCGGTGAATCCATATGGGGTAAGCCGTTCAAGGATGAAATCAATCATGCGTTAAGTCATGATCAACGAGGTATTTTGTCGATGGCGAATCGTGGAACCGATACAAATCAATCGCAGTTGTAAGTAATTTGCGGAATGAGCCCTTCCTCTGTGTGAATCCGTGTTCTTTTGATGGAATCTTCGTCAAATTTTGTGTTTTTTGGAGTTACGAAAAAATGGTTTGACATTAATCGTAACTGTCGATCTATTAAGTGTTCCCTTTGAGGGAAATTTTGCTTAAGTTTAAATCTGAATGATTGATTCGGTTGATTTGTTGACGACTGTTTGTGTAGAATCTTTCTCTTCTGATATGTTTTTTTTTTGAAAAGTGAATTTAATTTCAGTTTCATGACATTCCGGGCGTGTAAATATTTGGATGGTAAACACACAATTTTTGGTCGTGTGGTCGGAGGTACGGATACGTTAACCGCAATCGAGAGGTTAGAAACTGAGCCGACGACTGATCGACCCATTGTAAGTTGTCAATTTTTGTTGTCGTTTGTTGTCGCTTGTTTTATGGATTTATTTTTTTATTTGATGTGAAGTTGAATTCGGTAGGATAAGATAATATCTTTGGAATAGATTGGTTTTGAAGCCGTGCAAATATAGCGTTGGTTTATTAACTTGGTGTTGATGTGAGCAGTCGGAGGTTGAAGAGTTTTTGGTAGAATTTAGCTTACCGGTAGTGATTTGTGTTTTGACAGATGGATGTGATATTTATGGCTGCTGAAGTGTTCGTGGATCCCTTCGAAGAGGCCGAAGCGGCAGTGCAAAAAGAACGAGAGGAGATTCGCCTGAAAAAATTGAAGAAAGATAGAAGTGGTGAGAAGAAAGCATTCAGTTTTTTGTTAGTTTGTTTGTGGGGAATTGTTTTTAGTTGGGGATGTTTCTGGTAGAATATGCAAAATTTTGAACGTTTGTAATGTTTTGAGAACTTTTTTGAATGTAACTCTCTGGATGAGAGTAAAGAATTAAATGACGATCGAGTTTATTGAAAGTTGCAGAAGCCGTATCAGCGCCAGTGAATGCTACACATTTGCCGAAGCAAAAAGTCTACGGTTCCGGGGTCGGAAAGTATTTGAACCTGGAAGAATTCATACCAACGGTGGCGCAAAAACGGACCAAGGATACAAGTGATACTGGTCAGGAGGAAGCGGTGTTCGGTACTGCAGCAGCACAGGTGAAAAAGAAGAAGAAGGCAGTTCGATCGGAATTGAAAGATTTCAGTAAATGGTGATGATGAACATTTTTGTGTGTTGATATATTCTGAATTTGTATTTTTTGTATAATGTTTACTCAAAATGTTTGTTTGTATAAAGGAATTTATGAATATTTTGTGTGTACATGACAAGCGTTTTGTTGTGACAGATTGTGTGATTCGTCCAGATAACAAATTGGGGCATTAGTGAGAATGGTTTGTGTTTATCAAAGAATTTGTCTTTGAGTGTGGTGGGATTGATGTTGGAGAGTAAGGTCGGTCATTGCATCTCGGAATTACGGAGTTACGGAACATGTTAGAGCTCTAGGCAGACCTTATGAGAGGTTTTGTAAGGGTTTGGTAGTGGTTTATAATCGCCAGGAGTGGCATGCGAGTGATATACCGATTATTGAGGCCGTACTACTTGCAGTTAATTATAGCAGAGTTTGAGGACATATTGATGTTTCATTTTATAATCATTGTAATGAATTGGAATTCAATATTATTGTAATGTAATAGATTTGAATTTGATATCTTACGATTAGTATGTCAATAAAATTCAGTTATCCATGGGAGATCGGAATTCAATGAAGGATTAATCAAATACACTGAATAAGTAGGGTTGGATAGCTGTGATGATTTCAAATCAAATGTGAGTGCTTACGTATGGTTAAAGTTAGTGAATTGATGTGGTTAGACGTAGAAATTTATTTTATTGATGAGAAAAATAATTGTGAAATAATCATTTAAGATGTAAGCAAAATTATCTCTCATTCATTGCAAATGTTAGACGAACGGCTGACTCGAATATCAACTCTATATTCTATACAAATCTTTTTAAGTGAGTTAATATTATAATATAACAGAACAAATGGGCAAGCTCTTTCGTCTGAACACTTTTCTAATGGAAATTCTCCACAAAACTGGTAATGAAAGACAATGTCTCGTGTAGTGATCCCATTCCTCCGTGGAGTATCGGGATACCAGTTCGTAAGATAGTAGTTTGATGATGAAGTATAGTCTCATCAATGAATTCAGAAAATATCACAATAAATTAGGAAAAAATCTCATCTCTATCTCCTATTATGCGAACGAGATGGAGATGAGACTTTTCTTGGATCAATTTTTTGGAGGGACACATCACCCTCAAATGGGATTCTTATCCTTATGCAGGGGATTAATTATCCTTATCAGTCCGACGATCACTTCGCCTTAGAGTGCAGTTTCGATCCACGAACGAGACCGAGTTGTTTGACGATACCGTATTGATCTGGGATCTCGAGAAGCGATTGAATCGCGAATGATAGTTCACCACTTTGGATACCTTTCGCCTTACGCATCACATCGTGGAATTCAACAAAATGAAAATTGTCCCATGGACGTTTTGGGAGCGAATCATCAAACACCTGAAAAAATTTCATAACTTAAGCATACTCATCTGTGATGTGAGGATAGTCATTCATTTTGCAAAAAGTTAGTTGGTCAGGATCTATAAGCCTTTCTAANCTAAGACCTTTGTGAGATCTTTATTCAATTCGGTTCCAATATCAAAGTGGTCATTTGATTGTAATTCAGTTTAGTTAATCACAATTGAAATACAAAGCTTCTGGCTCATTCGACATCATGAACTCATTCAGAACCAACACTTGAAGTATAACAAGACCTTGCTCCTTCAACGAACGATATTTATTTCGTAACCAATCAAAACAATCGATCAAAACTGATCGGAGAATTTAGCTGTGAGCTGGTTTCATCTTAGATTTAGAGCCATTTGAGAGGGACTCTCGAGTTGAGTAGCTAAATTTTGAGTAAATCACGAACGTACCCTCATCATATCCCATGGTCCATCACCTACACCGACCACAATAATCGACAGAGGATATTGACATGCGCGAACAATCGCTTTTCGAGTGGCCTTCTCATTCGTCACTTGACCATCAGCAACAATTACCAGAATATGGTACTGAAATCAGAATTCTTTTAGATCAGATCTTAAGATCAGTTTGATTACAGTTCATAAAAATTATTTTTGATGTTTAGTGAATCAGAACCGATCCAAAAACATTGTTAACTGAATTACATTTTGCTTTCAGTGTATTATTCTTTGATAGGTAGTGAGCTGTAAGTGTATTGAGGTGTAACTTGAGGTTACGAGGTCAAGACAGGCTTAGAACATCACAGATATAAGTTAGACCTCCTAATTAGGAAGTAAAACATGAAATTCCATCGAAATTCATTGGTAATAAGTTGAATTTCAGTTCTTCATTGGAGCTATCGTTAAACTCCAATCATCGCTCGCGCATCACCGTAGCCAACTACAGTATCCAATAGTGAGTGACCAATGGGTGGTCGCAATGCGACTACTACAGTGACCACTAACCAATCACGTGCGAGCTGTGTCTCAGATAAGTGCAAACCAATTTCTAGCCATCACAGTTCAAATTTAATGGATAGAATGGAACCAAAACGGGATATTTATTTCGTTCGCAGTCAAATTTGAGGGCAATACAGGGATTTTCTAGGACTTAAGTCCGGTATTCAGTCTCAGTTTTAGATGAAGATAGACAAAACAACGTTGTGATACAGGCATATCGTGGTCGATTAAAGCAATGATGTGACATCAATGTAAAAGGACGATTCAGAGCAATAGAATATAATGATTATACGGATCAGTCAATGAATTGAGCTTACATCTTGGACTGCTTCACAAATTTCGATGGCCTGGTAGATGACAGGCGCGAAGTTCGTGGGACCACTCAAGCTGACCGTTGGTGTCACTTTATTGTACACCCTATAAATTGAACCTTCATTGAGAATTTTTGGAGTATGTGAATAAAAATCGAGTTGGTCAAAGTTAAGAGCAAACTCTGAAACCAAGAAATCTTCAGCACAAACCTGAGCACTTCATCCAAATTGCGACATTCGCCATCGTCCTTCAATTTGAACACCGACCGATCGCCAGTTTTGGCATCGCCGAACCCGTATGCGGGAATAAATCCGGATGTTGCGAATGGAGCTAGTGTGCGACCCATAAC